AAAGGAGAGAGAGAAGACAAGGACACAACACAACACAAGCAATAATTGCAAGCCTTGCTTAAGGTTTGACATTTAATTTGCCGCGCCGGTAACCGTACTTCGAGCTTTTTATACACAGCGCTGGATTTCTAATTAGTCTTGATACAATGACACTGATATCTGAGAGTATATTAGGAACCATGAAATGAAGTTAATAATCAGATCTACCACATTTTCTTATTTACCAGATATATATTGAAAAAATTTCTTGCTGGTAAATAATAAAAAAATGAAAGAAACGTTTATTTAGTTTCTGATGCTTTTTCTTTCTTTCTTAATGATGATGTATATAGACCGGTGACCAAAATCATGGGCGGAACATCATTACCGATGACACATAGAACTTTACCTGCTACCAATTATTCATTTCTTCATTGACGAATTGCTTCTTATTCTATTTTTCGCATGCGTGTATATATCCAAGGTTAGATAAGTTATATATGAATTATGGAGTCACGAAAAAGAACATTCAAAGCAACGAGTGAAAAGTTCAAAGGGAGATGAGTTCTAGTCAAGAAGTTAAGTTATTTCGATGACTTTATGCTCTTGATTAGGTGTCAAGCAACAATGATTTCAATTATGCTACAACAAACGTCTCTCTCGCTCATCTTAATTTCTTCCGTGAATTCTGAGACACACTCTTGCATCTGTGTATCCGCATATTTTCTTTGCCATCTTTCACAGTCTACACTTATAAGTACAAAGTACAAACTAGTGTAAAAAAAATGTTGCTGGGAAACCCTAGCTAGACCCAGCAAATAGGTGCATCATTAATATTTTACCGAGAATATGGATACAGTGACAAAGTGATCAAATGATATTACTTAATAACAATATCATAGAATAATTAGAAAACCACTCATTACTACTTCCAATAATCATTAAATGATATTACTTAATAACAATATCCCGTTCTCCTTAATTTCTACACCAACGTTTTTTAGCAATGAAAAAAAGTTGAAAGCTAACATAACCCTTTCGATCTGGACAAAGTTTATCAATCAAAATTAAGAAGTAATAACACTTCCACACTGAGAAAGAGAGTAGGAGGAAGGAAGACAGAGATAGAGCAAGCTAACATAAATAATCCTTCTGCAAATCTAACTAAAAATTGGTATAAAATTGGAAGAAAAAAGGCTACTTAGTAACATGGAATTGATATACTTATAGTAAAAACAGAAAATGGATCGGACCGAGACGCTTGATTCCCCTAGAGTTTGAGTTGTTGGATCCTTGAAGCAAAAGCTAGACCCTTCTCTCACTCAATATATATAAGTTGCTGAAGCTAGCTAGCTAGATATATGTGAAGTAGTAGGGTTTTCTCATAAGCATAAGCGAAGCAGCAACTTTTGTTCCTTCTTGGTTGTGTTCGTCGTCTTCTTCTTGGGCTTGTTTTGAGTGGTGCTTGTGATGGTGAAGGCGGTGATCATGATGAGGAAAAGGTTGGTGGATGATGATGATGTTTCTGATAAAGGAAAGGGTGGGAGCCTTGAGGGGGTAATGATGATGATTATGGATGGTAAGAGAGGAGGGGAAGGAGGGTGAGGGCATGATGATTGCTGTTGGCTGAGGCCGTTGAAAGATTGAAGAAAAATCCAAGGTAGTTCGTGCCATCCCTCTGAGAAAGAGAAAGAGACCACTTGATAGCTCTCTATCTCTATTCTCTCTCCTTTTTCTATTGTGGGAAGAAAGAAAGAAAGAAAGAAAAGAATTATCACGAAAACCGTGGTGCCAACTTTTTTATGCCCTCCAGCTCTTGTTCGTGAGGAAAAGGAAAGATGACCCCATTTCATTTTCCATGAGAAATTATCACCTGCCACTGTTCTTCTTGTCCACAGTGTAACATCCAATCACATTTAAGTGCATGTGGGATGTGATCAATATTTTGTTGACAAACAATTACAACTCTAATTGAAAATATTAAGGAGTTCAGAAAAAGTGCAGAATGATTGAGTTGTTTGTTGTAATATTCCTATGGATATAGTAGTGTAGACTGGTAGCTGAATTCTATTTTTTTTTTTAATATTCTTTATATTATTATAGGTTATTATTATATTCAAAAACAGTAAAAGGCTGTTTGTGACTGTATATGAAGTGGATGAAATGCTTATGAGCTTTATAGGGTTTAGTTAAAGATGTAACTTGGCAGAACAGCGAGACAAATATACCCATGAGAATAAAGAATGACAAAGTCATCAAAAGAACTGATTGTGACAGTGCTTGAGAGAATATAAAATGCGAAAAATTAAAAATGTTAAGAGAAGGAGGACACATAGGAAGAACAAGATAGAAATAGAATATGTGGCCTCTTGAATGTAATGGCTGTCCTACTGCAAAAGCAATTGCTTATGGGACAAAAATGTTAGTTACTGTTCACATAACGCAATAATGTTCCCGGCATTCTGAAACTTGAAAGCAATAATTCATTGTTTACAGAGATAGAGAAAAAGATTCCCAGATAAGCATATTTTGAATGTTTGTCCAGTACCATATACCTGGTCTGATGATACTTCTTGATTCTCGCACTACTCAACAGTCTGATATATGTGTGTAAAACATCTTTTACTTAATTCTTTTTGTTTTTATATTGCCTTTCCTTTCTTGCTTTTCAACATTATTTTTGCCGCACGCCCCCCACCCTTGCTTTTTTATTTTTTTTTAGCCTCACTTTATTTTATTTTATAACACAAATTCCTCCTATGTTTTTACCTCAAAACCTATCCTATTTATCTTCCCTTTTTAGACTTCTCTTTTCACAAAATTGGCCAAGTAAGAAAAATCAAGTTAATTTATCTTCATTGGCCCAATTTAGATTGTGAATTGGCTTGATCATCGAAGAGGCCCTTGAAGTTCCAAGAACTCTTGTATGATTGTTTTGTTTGGTTGTGGTTTTGAGCATATATAGAGGACAAAAGTAGTTTTTGGAAAATAACCTATCTAAACCTGCGCTTATGACTTTATGTTTGACCCTGATAAAGTCACGCATTAGCCAGCCTTTTCTTCCACTTTCTCCTCTCATGAATGGAGGAAAATGTGGCAAACCAAATTTGTTTGATGGAAAAGTGAAACTCTTGAACAAAAGTGGAATTCTTTTCCAGAGATTCAAATCTTTTTGGCACAAAACATAGTCTAAACCCAAACATATAAAGTGCACAGTATGCTATGTTCCCTCTGTCCTTGATTTCTTACGGAGAGGTTAATTCGGCTTGTTTGTTTAAAAAACCCATACTCTATAATGAATATTCTATATCTAAATAAAAATATGAAATTCGTACTAATTTAGATAGACATATTTCCAATCAATTTTATTCAGTTTAAACCAAACGCAAATATAGTTAGATCCTTCACCGCATATAGCAACCATCCAATATTTTACCCAACAAGTTAATTTGTATCATTTTATCGATATAAGGGTAATAGAAATATCAACTTTAATTTCTACAATTTTTAAGTATTCAAAGTATGAGGGTCAGTAGTCATTATTGGTGAACTTAGTACCTAAAATCTAAAAATTATTTTAATTAAAGTATATAGTATTTCAGATTATATTTATTTTTAATATATAGGTATATATATATAGTAAATTAACATTATGACACATTTTAAATTATATGTTTGAAAAAAATTCCCTATTTTTAGAAAAAAGGTATTTATTAACAAATTTCAATTTTTAAAAATAAATTAATCCAAGCATATACTAAATCAATGGTACATTAGTACGCACAAAAATTAATGTTAGATATAATCTTGCTCATTTTAATGATAAATTCACTTTAAAAAAGTCTTATCCAGTATATAAAATATATTCAAAACCATTTTTTCTTTCGCGCTTTCAAAATAAAATGTTTTTATTTTCAGCTTAATGATACATTACTATTCAATTTGATCTTGAATACATTTGAAACATTTCAAATGTGGAATTATGGAGGCACTTGAAAAGAGCATTGAAGCGTGGGAGGAGTAGCTTAATACGATTTGCCTTTTTATTAAAATTATGACACATTTCAAATTTACTTACGGTTGCATTGAAAAATAGGATTTGCCTTTTTTTTAAAAGGTGATAGAAGATGTAAAGTAAAAAAGTGTTAATCTATTCACAACATGATTTTAAATAGGTTATGTTTATATTTCGATCAACGGTTTGCTTTTTTTACTTTACACCTTTCTTCCTCTTTAGAGGAGAGCTCGATCCTTAAAAATATCGTACTATTCAATTGAAAATTACTATTCTTAGGGACTAAAATATTCATAGGTAATAATAATTCATTAAAACGAATTTTGTAATAGTTTGATATTTCAGTCTATTTTCACGATGGCTGCACTAAGTTACTGTCGGGATTAGACATCGGTTATGTTTGACATGAATAGTGATAGCTGAAATTATAAAATTAAGTTTTGGTTAAAAGCTAAATTAACTTATTAAATTAGATGTATTTCGTAAAATTATATTATTAAACTTGCTGATAAAAATGAAACAACATAAAAAGGCAAGCTTATATTTATTTTTTTATTTTTTTGTAGGCATTATATTTTTATAACTATAGGCTTTTAATTTAGTTTTAAACTCTTATTTTTTTAAAAGATAAAATATTTTATTGAAAATAAAAAATAAATAGTGTAACCATGTATTAATAAAAATAAACAGGGAAATATTACTGCAAACAATGTTTGCATGAGCTATATATATATATATATATATATATTAAAATAAGTTGAAAAAAGTTATAAACTAATTAAAATATGTTATTAAATACACCCATTAACTATTTTCGTTGACTACCAATGGGTTGGACCTAAACTAATTTTAATTAGGGTATGTAAGTCCTAAGTAGTATGAAAAATATGAATTACATTAGGATTGTAAATTTCATGGTCCATGATATTAACTGGGTTAACGTGGCCTATAATTATGTTAGTTTACAATAAAGTCACCTTCTGGGCCAATTAGTCCAAGACGGAGAAAAATGTTCGGCATGGCTGTAGGGACCTTACTTGATAAGAACTTGTGTTTGGGCCTTTCTTTAGGCTTCGTTGTGTAGTGTGCTGGGGGAACGGGAAATGCTGCTCAGTAGTAACTCGCAGTTTTCTCGGTGGACTTTCTTCAAGCACCTTACGACGCGCAAATTAACGACTTTCTGTCAGCACAAATCCCTAGTCACTCTCTCCCAATTTGGAACCCTAACCTCTCGCCAGAAAGACCAAATTCATCTCTACGTTGACGCTCTTCTTCAATGGAACAAGGTATTCAAATTCTCTCTCTCATCGCATACAGCCCCACGCGCATTCCCCCTTAACACTTGCATGTTGCAATTGCAATTGCAGCGCATGAATCTGACCGCAGTTAAAGAGGTGAATGACGTGATGGAACGGCACGTGGAGGATTCCCTTTCGATTTTGCCTCCTTTGAGCGATTTTTATCGCATGCACTGCGGAACTTCGTGTGACAAGCTTAACCTTGTGGACGTTGGAACTGGCGCGGGCCTTCCCGGAGTAGTTTTAGCCATAGCTCGCCCAGGTGAAGTCTTATGTAATGTATTAGCAATCAAAATTTGTGTTGTTGCTTGATGGAGTGCGTTGTGACTTGTGATTCGGTGGAATAGAGTGGGATGTAACGCTGCTGGAATCTATGAACAAACGATGTGTCTTTTTGGAGCATGTTATCAGTGTTATTGGTTCCTCAAACATTCAAATTGTAAGAGGAAGAGCAGAGGTAACATACACTCCAATTCTTTTAACAGTTATTTCCATTTGAGTATTTCTTGTTTTTGTCAAGATCTCTTATGCTATTTTGAATTGTTTTCCTTAGTGTATTGCATAACAGCTTTCTTATTTAATCCGTTTGAAAGGAGAAAGAAACGGGAGAGAATAACTTGACATGGTTTTCCAAGGAATATTAACCTGGAATAACAAACTGAAACACTCCTAAAAACCTTCACCTTGTTGTTATGTTTTATGTTTCTTCTGACACCATCTTCTGCCATGTCCCTTCTCTTGTGTTAAAATGTTTTATTCTGTGCATAGGGCAGAGTTTAGGTCAGAATCCTTGTTTCAGAGAGCAATTTGACGTAGCAGTGGCCAGGGCAGTTGCTGAAATGAGAATATTAGGTAATAATATTGAGGACTTCCTGATTTGATTCTTCATTTCTTTGACACTCAGTGATTTGTTACTGCTTCAGTGTTTTGTTATTGCATTTCCAGCTGAATATTGTCTTCCCTTGGTTCGTGTCGGTGGATTGTTTATTGCTGCCAAGGGTCATGATCCTGAGGTATGTAACAGCTACTGGAAATTTATTTTGCTGACTCGTATTATATATCTAATATTGCTTGCTTGATAGCTTTCGTACAAGAAATGTCTACAAATCTTAAATAAATTTTGATCGTTTGTCTTTTTTTTTTTACCTCCTGAAATGTGCCTAATTTGTATCTGCCATAAGTCTTACATCTGTCTCTGATTCATATTTCATTGGCATTGATCATATGATCTATGAACTGGGGAGGTTGTGCCTTCTCAGGAGATTACAATTGAATACATTGGAGGATAACTTATGGGCCTTGTGCTGAACCATAGGAAGGGTTCACAAGTCGAACAATTATTATGTCCAGTCGTCCTCAGGTTTGAGTTCATTTACAGGGTGTAGTTCTGATTTGATAATGCCCTAGGAGGATATTTTAGCCTACGAGTAACAGTGAGTTTTCAATTATTAAGATTTCAGCAAATATTATTAAGTTCTTGTAAATAGTTTACTTAGGATATATTATTGAAAAAAGAGACAATGGAGGTGGATTTTAGGATCTTTGTTGTATATTGGATTTTGGGGAGAATTATAGGAATATGGAAAATAAGTAAAAATCATCTATGTTTGCAAGTTAATTAGAATTCAAAAATTGTCAATGGTAATTTTTAGTTCTTCATTTTTTTTAATAATTTTTAACTGCTATACTAGTACAACAAATATGGCTTGTCTATTGAAAAATTGTCAATGGCGATTTTTTATAGTAAAATATTGATATTGGCAGTTTTTGAATCTTTAGCTAAGTAAACTCACTTCCTCCTCATTTTAATCCGTAGAGTTAAATATTCTTTATACATAAATATGGAAAATGATTAAACAACAATAATTTTATAATAAATTAAATGCTAAACTTTTATCTAATTATATTAAAGAATATTGTCTTCTTTTTTCTTCTTGATTTTTGAGGGCCTGTATCTAATAGAAATATGAGTAAAAGGACACAACATGCGTGAAAGAAGTTTCCTTTGTCTTTTTCTTCTTCTACCACCACCATCCTTTTGCGGAGACTAATATAACTTCTCATTCGACTGTGCTAAAAGTGATGACTTCATGGGGAATTGCTAGTGCTAGGCCTGTGGTAGTTATATGGAAAACTACTGCTGCTTGGAGAGTAGTGGCTCCATGAGAAACTACTGCTACTTGAAGAGTCGTGGTTCTATAGGAAACTATTACTGGTAAGTTGGTGGAACTGCAACTGCATACAAAAAAACCTGACTTAAATGATCCTGTATTAAGAGTTAAATTGGCTAAAAGAATGAGTCATAATTATTATGGAGAACTTGCATGGCCTAATGATCTTTTATATATTTGATATATTTTTATTAATGTAGTTTTTATGACAACTATACAGAGATAATACCCACATTTCAAATGATATACAAGAGGTGAACAACTATGGTCCACTATTTAGCTCTTTGATATGCTTTGAGTTATTAAAATAACATGCAGCTAGCCGTATAATATTTTAATTTAGATTTGTTTAACTTGTTATCTCTTGACTCAAAAGTCTTGAGGGATTTTATATTAGAGTTATTAGAATTATGTGAACTAAGTAATTTGAGCACTATATATGATGAGTGGACGATAATGCAAAATTATTGATATCAGAATATTTTACACAAAATTGACAATTATTATCCTTTCGTAAGCATTAGGCATGGTACACATAGTATGAAATATAATAGCTATGGTTCTCCTAACAGGGTTATAGGCCCAACAATAGCCATTTCCCATGGAGTTACCCTCTCCTCAACAGCAGTGGCTTCCTATGGAGCCACTACTCTCCAAGCAGTAACCTCCTTTATACTTGTTAATAGCACGCTCTAGCAGTGCGACAGACACGTTGCGGGGCATTTGTCCTGTTGTGGTGGTTGCAAGAGTTCGTGACCAAAACCTCGAGCAGTTTGCATGCCTTTATGAAACCTATATATCAAATAATTTCATCTTCTCCGCATGCTTCTTCTCTGCATTGCAGCAAAAGTTGAGGCCTCAACAAAGAGATTTCTCCCCGCCTCACCGGCTCACCCATTCGATTTTGCCGGCAAAATTAGCTTTTGCTGGTGGCTTTTTGCCAGAGAAATCAGCTTTTCTTGACACCCCACTTTTTCTACACTGTTTTTCTTCTTCCCCTTCTCTGTTCGGCACTCTCTCCTCCCATCTCTATCTTGTTTCTGCTTTGCGACAATCTCCAATCCAGCAGAGTCACTCATTTAGGATGACTTCTTTGGCAAAAGCCACTTCCTTTCTTCTTCTCTCTATTCTATGATTCTACAGTCCTACCTCTATTCTGTTATACTATTTATGCATATTTGTTTAATATTATTATATACATAATTATTTGCATATTTATATACTTTATATTCATATGAAAAACTTTAAAATAGCGGCAATCCCGCTATATGCTATCCTGCAATAGCGTTTGGAGGGTTGTTCGCTACACCCAACTATCCGAGATTAATAACTATGATCTTCCCTGTTTTTCCGTTCACTGATCACTCATGCTTTAGGCTTTATTTTTCTGTTTATCCTTTGCTTTTTTGTTCAAGGTCTATTCTTTTGTTCATACTTTGTTTTTTATTCCCACTCTCCTTTGTTCTTCATGCTTTCATGCCCTGTTTTGCTGAAAGAGATAAAACTTGGTTTTTTTATTTAATAACATTCATACTGTAGTGTTTTGCACTTTTACTTGAAATAATAATTAAGTGATTAATTTTGAGAATTTTTACTAAAATTTTATGTACATAACATATTATGTATGCATACTACAAATTTTAAATAGCGGTCATCCTGCTGAAGTGTTTTAGGGGTCAGCCGTTATTTGCCACTATCTGATCTGAGATTAACAACTATGGTTTCCCATGAAGTTACCAGTATTAGCAATTTCCTATAAATCTTCGGCGCAACCGAACCAAAAATTATATTGGTTTCCACTAAGAGAACAACGATAGCCATTTTAGTAGGGTGAACAATCCCCATAACAACAACTAACATGAATGACCATAAATGGAAATGATATTTGTTGTGATTCAAGAAGTTGGAAATCATGGGGGAAAAGGTTTTTTGATTTTGCAACAGTGACAATGACATATATTGTGGATTATTGTGCACTTATGATTTTGCCATTAATGATGCTTAATCTACCCAACGAATTCTCCATTGTGATTTTGATTGGAATGAGGAAGCATCTACGGAAGAAACCTGTACATTAGGTGTCTGAATAGTATGTTTCTACACATCAAGCATCCATATAGGAGGATGTGTACCAACCACACTAATGATGACACCAGATTATGAAATTACACCTCTGCCAATATTCTAACGGGGTGATCAATGGTCGTTGTCAATGATGCAATGAGAGATAATGCAACAAAATATGGAAGTCACATCTACATCTATGCATATGGTGAAGTCAAAAGCTGCAGGAGATGGGTCTTCAGAAGCCCAGGGTGCAGGAGATGATGGTGGTAGAGGAGGAAGATCAAGGGGATTTCTTTGACATGTTACGATTATTTACTCATGCTCCTATTAGATACAACTTGTTAAAAATTAAAAAGAAAAAGGGGAAAAGAGGATAACCTTCTTCAATATAATTAGATAAAAATTCATTCTTGAATTTATTGTAATATCAATGTTGTTCAATACAACTTCTTAAAAATCAAAAAGAAAAAGGGGAAAAGAGGATAACGTTCTTCAATATAATTAGATAAAAATTTAGACTTGAATTTATTGTAATATCAATGTTGTTCAATGTTTTTTGATGTTTATGTATAAAAAATATCTAACTCTATAGATTAAGAAGTGAATTTATATAGGTTGCAATTCAAAAACTGCCTGTGGCGTAAAAAATTGTTAATAAGAATTTTTTAGTAGTCAAGTCACATTTTATACTAACATAGGAAATAATTATTAAAAAAAATCTAAAATTGAAATTGACAATTTTTGCATTCTAACTGTCCAACAAACATAAAAAATTGTTTTACTTATTTTTCATAATCTCATTTTTCTTCTCAAAATTCCATATTTTGGTATTAAACAATAATTTTTCCCATATAAAAAAAGAGCCACGGCGTACACATTCAACTTAATCATATATTCAAACTTACTGACTTATCTGTCTATTCACTTAAAAGTTAACAAAATAAAAATTTACTGCCTATAAAATAAATTATTTCTCAATTGTGTTATATTCTTTGATTTTCCATATAATTTACTCTCAGTAAAATGTTTTTTCATTGTCATTTAATATTGTGTTGGCAGTCGTCTCATGATTAAAGAACTTTGACTTCCTAGTTCCTACATAGTGGTTGGGACTTGGGATGGTCAAACCCTTGTGGTAATTTGTCAATGGATTGATTGGATGTAATATAAGAAGTTTTACATTTAAAGTAGACCAAAATTGAACCCATATTATTTTTTATTTGTTTAAATTTACAAGTACATCTCAAATCAAGTGAAAATATTCTGTGGCTTTTCTATACATGTCCCATGGATTTGAAGTTGTTAACAGTATGAATTTTGATAGGATGAAATTAAGAATGCTGGAAGTGCCATCCAGAAGATGGGTGCATCTCTACTGCAAGTGTGCTCAGGTACTGAGCTTTAAGTCTTTAAACTTTGCTCTTGTGATATAGACTTTTGTACTGCGTTAAAAATTTTCAAATTTGTTATGATTTTCCTAGCTGAAACTTTCATTTGTGTTCCTGAGAAAACAAGTTTTTAACGTTTAATATTCTGAATGAAGTGGAGACATTGATAGTTTCCTTGTCAGATGGCTCTTAGCTGGTGTAAATTGATTAGTCTTGTGTCAAGATTAAGCTGTAACACCAATTTTTAAGGATTTAATTCCCCCTTCTCACTTTCTCTTTTGTTGAGTGTTCTGGAGCCTAGCAAGTGATGATTCTTTTTTACTGGGAAAATAGTTGAGAGTTTAAAGTCAATATTAGTGGCCATGGTTGGTGATGCTCCTACGGCTTGTGGAGGCACGTCAGTAAAATGTAAAGGTTGGGCAAGAAGTGTCTGTGTATCAAGGTGCATGTGTGTTTTTACTAGTCGAACTTAGCAGAAAGGTAGAGAAGAAATTTGATAGGAAGATTGGAGTGAATATAAATTTGATAACATAGTGATGTTTAATCGAAATTCTGAAACACATATTTTGTTGTAGTATTTTAAAATAATAGAAGTCCCAGATTGCCTACAATAGGAGTCCGTTGAGCATATATCAGTGTTTTTAAAATAGGACTCACCGTTGAATCGGTGAAGGTACTAATTCATGATTTATTATTTCAAAGAGATTAAATTGTGCTCAAACTGATAATATATGAAAATATTTTTTTAATATTAGATAATATATTAAATAATTAATTAAAATAAAATTATTAAAAATTATGTTAATTGAAATTTTAAATTAACATAAAATGATCATATTGCATATAAGATAAAAGATTATAATAAATAGCTAAATTACAATAATTCATACGTAAATATCATTTATAGGTCTTATTTAATTAAATATTATATTACAATTTTTTAAAAATAATTTTTTTTAACTACCTGGTTTAAACTAATTATTTGCACCAGTTCTTACCTGGCTTTGGCTAATTTTTTTAACCGATTACTTAACTAATTTTTTATTCAACCGCCCAATTGAGTCTGGTTTTGATAATTATGGTGTATATGTATCAATGTTGAAGAGAGTTTGTAAAAGATATAAAAAGAGAGATGGGCGCCTATTCGAGACAACATGGGACTTCTCATTATTTTTAAATAAAACAAAATTAATGGAAGATATATATTGTGCTACCATTTGATTTGAGAGCTTGAAGATAAGGATGTCAAGTACTTGATCTTTTGTCCTTAAACAAAATCCTGACAACCACAAACCTACACAAATTTTACCCTACTCTTACGCCCAAAAGGCCAGAAAATATTTCACAATCTACTGTTCCACCTAGATTAGAGCATCAATCTTTGTTCCTTCCCTTGGTCCTTTTAGGGCTTATTTGACACCTTGTATTAGGCATGATAGGATAAGCTTGTACAATGCTTTATGACTTTATTGGTTATTTGGTGCAAGTACTGTATTGCACAGGCTTATCTATCGAACTCCTCTTATACCTTCAAATGATAGATAGTAGGGGTGGGCATAAAACTTTCCCACAAACATGAAGACAATCTATTTTAGGTAACAATTAATTTTAAAATTTTAAATGTTATGCAGGTTAATTATATCTTCAAAAGTTAGACTAATTGAATAATTATGTTAAGGAAATTTAAGCCAGCTCGAATGGCTCACAACTTGTATTGAATTGGGCCAATAATTTGTTAATTTAAACTATCCTGAACCTAGGCACAAACAACCCACATCAAAGTCTGAATTATCCGGGCCTTATTGACAACCTTGAGTGGTGTTGAGTTGGTAGTAAGAAATGATAGAACAGAAAGATAAATAAAGTTAGAATATAATAAAAAATATAAGTTATTATTATTTTTATGTATCAGGATATTAAAATAGATAATATTATGTCATTTTTTTTAATGTTTGAGATAAACAAAAAATAATAGAGCACATATAAATTATATTTAAAACAAAATTACTCTTTTATCAAAATTAATATAATTTAAATTTAAATTTAAATTTTTTACATTTCAATATATATATATATATATTAAAAATATTTTTGTGTACATACAGTATTAAAATTCGACATTCAATTTTCTTACAATTAAAATTTATTTTTAGCAAGAAATTATAATTGGAAAATTATTAAAGAATAAAATATATTTTATAAAATGATTAAAATATTTTTTTACAAATTTTTTTAAATATATTTTTCTTAAAAAATTATTTATTTTTTAAAACAAATGTGTACTTTTAAAAAAATACTTTTAATACTTTTTTGAAACACTATTAAAAAACGCTAATATATATATTTTTTTGTAAAAAATATAAAAATATATTTTTTAAATAAATTATTTCTTTATAAAATATTAAAAAGGTATAAAGTATGAATGAGAATATAATAGAAAAAAAAATTATCATGATGTTTTTAACCCACTAGTTCATTTGACAACTTCAAAAACATATTCAACACATAATATAAGTTTGACATAATTATTTAGATAAATTTAATTCTATAAATATATTTTAAGTGAAAGATATTTTTTTCCAAGAACTGTTTTATCCTATCTAAATGTTACACTCTCTGTCCCTAAGATAATATTATCTTATCCAGCAATATCTTATACGATGTGAGGCCAAACACTGTATAATGTTAAATTTTTGTTAGGCTTATTAGTATGTTCTTTCCGATATTTCAGAAACAGTTAATTTTGGCAATGTCCTTGTATTCTTAATTTTTGTTTTGTTTGGGTACATGTATTTTTTTTTTTTTTCGGAAGAGACTGTATCTCATTTCAATTTACTGTTTCGTCAGTGGATTAGCTAGCTTATAGGAGTAAATTTACATTGCTGTTGTTATGTCTAGTGGAATCGCAAAGCCCGCATGGTCAGCGAACTGCTGTCATATGTTCAAAGGATCGTCCTACACCATTGAAATATCCCCGTGATCCAGGTACACCAGCTAAAGAGCCATTGTAACTAAGGTAAGGTAGATGCTCATTCTGTGGGCTGTGTTGTGTTAATTTTTCTAGCCAATATTCTGTCACTCATCTTGAACCAACGTGGAGCATTTTGTTCCCAAGAGTGGCCTGTTGTTTACAACATAATGTGCACCAGTGGCTAGTTTTTTAGTTCATATAGAGTAAGCTTTTATAATTATTGCTGTTACCGACGTCGTTCGGAATAGATCTACCTGTGGTGCGACTTTACTTGCATATGTGGATTATATGCAAAGCCTTACAATATTTTTGCCTTTATGTCGATAACGACATGGAAATTGCAATCTGTCTTTATCTCTCTCCTCGCCTGTCTTGTATTCATTGCACATTTACTCTGATCGGAATCAGGAGGCAAATGGCTTTAGGCGACTAACCCCCATGACTATGACTATGATGGTTTGTAGATGGTGTGTGCATAATATCTACATCTGAGCGAAAACATTTTTCAGTTTAGAAATGTCGAACATTTTTAGTTTGTAGCATTCCTACTTCCAGGATCCAAGTTTGTCTATTGATGTTTTATCACGACACAAGAGTGAGTGTTCAGAAATGACTCAGGTTTGAAATACTGGCATTGAAAAAATGTCTGCCATGTTACCTAATACCTAATCCTCTTATGCGTACTTAAATTGGGAAAATCCTTAAAAATCTCATAAAGCAGGAATTAATAAGATTCTGGACTGGGACCGGCGTTGTATAAAACTGGTTTTTGAAAGATAAACACACACTGACGAGAGACTAATCCTTTTAAATGATAATGAAGCGGTTAAATTATATTTTTCATCTTCTAAATTTAAGTAAAATTTTAATTGATCTTCCAATTTTATTTTTATGCAATTCAGTCTTCTATATTTAATTTAAGTTTTACTTCACTCTTGTAGTTTTTTTTATTCAATTTAGTCCTAATTTTTTTTAATGTTAAATTGATTTAAGAGATGTATTGGTATTTGATATAGATACGAGTTTGTAATGAAAATAATTAATAATAAAATTCATTGATATTTATGATTTGATTGATAATTATGGATTGACATTAAGTTTCATGTATTTACAATGGAAAAAAAAGTTGAATATGTACTTAGTCAGAAATAATTTGCAAAAAATTTAAGGTTTTAATAGTGATTAATTTTTTTATATGATGATTTAACAGTAAAATGCATATAAAATATAAAATAAGAAATTTTTTTATTTAAAGTGTTATTTTTAAAACTTTGGTTAAGTTAAAAATAGAACAAAGTTAAATGATTTAAGTAAAATTTAAAATGCTAAATTAAATAAAAAAATAAAATCAGATCTATATTTTATTTAAACAAGTATTTTTTAGCCTAACGAAGCAATAAAGTAACTTCTTTAACCATCCAGTTCAAGTTCACATGCTACTTTTTAAGCCATGTGTTAAATGCATCAAATCAATTCTTATGGTTTACAATTTAGTAAGAAAAATGCTTCTTAGATTCTTAAACGTATGGAACAAGGATGAGATTCCTTGGCAGCTCTATGAGATCCCAATCCTTGAAAACTTGATTCTATGATGAAACATTCGTTCATATAAAAGAAAATCCATCCCTCAACCTACAGCATATGCAGCGTGATCATTGTAAGTGCATATAAAGTACTCCATCATTTCAAAATTGTTATTTTAATAAAAATTATATTTTTTCATATTAAATGTTGTTTTAAGTTTTTAATGAAACATTAATTTTTCTATTTCAATTTTACTTCAAATTAATAATAAAAGTGATAGTTTTTCAGTTATGTGAGTCTATTTTTTTTCAGTAAACAAGAAAAATAAATTATAAAGATAATTTAATAAAATTATTTTACTGATAAAAATATTTATTGTTTTCTTATTTTTGTACAAAAAAAATTAAAAATAAAATTATATAAATTATCCTAAACTTTTCACTAGTTTAGATTATTTGCACTCAATCTCACGCCAACAAATAAATATTTCACTGGCTCCTGCCTGGCTTTAATATATACTTTTTCTCCGGTAACTTGAAGAATAGCAATTAGCTTTCCCAATACAAATAAATGTCTTTTTATTACATAAATGGTCAATTTATAGAAATTAGAATGTATTTATATACTTGCATTTTTAAAAGAAAAATATTACACTTACACTCTTTAAGTTTAATGAAATTATACTTAATTGATAATTTTTTTTTAACATAAATCTCTCTGTATACTCATTTTATGATGCCAATCTCCTTGATTTGTTATAGTTATATAAATTGAGGGAAATTAAAATAATATAAAAATAGAAAATATTTGGTGAAATTTTTGTTAAACTTTAGGTGTGTAAATATAATTTATCTTTAATAGTTTTTTTTTTTTTGGTGGGGGAGGGGGCGGTGTTTTGGAAAAATATATATTTTTTAAAAATTAAAAGAAAATGAACATGCTACTAATATTACTAAAATTTGAGAAATTAGTTTCATTTGAAAACACTAGTCAATATAACTTGTAATCTAAAGAAACTTAATCTTGACGTGAAGAATGTTTTGACGTGATAGTGTTCTTCAAGATATAAAATATAGCAACTTGAATATAATCTTAAAAAATAGATTATCATGCCACTTGTAGACCACACACAATAGTAAACAATAGTTCACGAGTATATTTTGCTGTTGGTGCGCTTTTCTCCTCCATCCCAGCTCCCTTTTTAACCATCGATGATTTAAGAATATTTTTATCTCTACAATTAGAGAAGAGTTAATCATATTTTTTATTTTAAATTTATATAATTGTTCGCATAAGTTTTATTTTTAATATGTAATATTTACTTCTAAAAATAAATTTTTCCCTTTTAATGTAACCTATTACTCAATTTTAATTTTATAATTCATAACTAACAGTAACTTATTTTTAAGCAAGTCCCATTGAAGTTGCTTCAGAGCAACTTTATTCGTGCACTCTGTTAGTATCAGGATAGGTAAAAGAAAAACAATCTTAAAACATTAAAATCTCTTCTTTCTAATTCAGGAAACGTTACTAATATAAGTAACTATTCTTATACATTGACAAACTTAATTTATTTAAGGAACTGTGGCATGTAACTGTTGATATTCTTACTCTTAGTTTGTGTACTACAAATTTGGATCAAGTAACACATAAATAACTTTTCTTTTAGTTTGAGATTCTAATTTAAAAAATGAAAAAAAAAAAAAAGGTCTCGATCTAGCCTTGATCCTCTCTTCCCTCCCTGTGGACTAAGCCTAATAATAGATTTCTTTCTCTCCTTAGGAAAAGGAAAATAGTTCTTTGAAATAAAAAAAGATATAAAGAAGAAGATAATGAAACATGGATATAAAAATAAATTTTTAAAAAAATCATCACCACTTTTTTCATAAAAAAAGGTGATATGAAACAGAGAAAGACATAAACAACATGCTAACCTTTATACAAATTAATATTAATGTATTCACCAAACAAACAAAAATTACAAATAATATAAATGAAGTATTTCTTAATGAAATTTGTATCTTTCTTTTGACAGTTCTCCGCGAAGAATCCTGGCCTAGGTTTCAAGATTACTTACATAAAGAGGTAGGAGGGGTAGGTTCTTTCCTTTTACGTTCTAAAATGAGAAAAAAGTATAATAAAATTACAAAAAAAGCACGAGTTTAAAGAACAGTAATAAAAACCTGCCAAACCTTAATGTCACAGTCCAAACTACCACTATAGACAAGAAAAGATGCTTCGGAGGTGTCATCACTATGATCAACTATTGCAGTTAAGCTCTTAATTGGACTTCTATGCCCTTCTAAAACACCCAAACAACAATAATCCTTCTCAACACCTCTCCAAATTCGAATGGTTTTATCCTCAGACCCACTGAACACCAAATCCGCGACCACAGCCAAGCATAGAATTGACCTAGTGTGTCCCCTAAGCGCACCCACCACAACCAATTTACCATTTTCACTCTTCTCCGAAACCAATATAGATCTATCACATGCACCCGAATATAGCAAAGACCCATCACCACGTAGAGCCAACGCATTAATCCCAGAGTTATGTTTCTCCAACGTATCCACCAAAGAGTGTTTCTTTTCCCCTTCCCTTTTGTTCCAAACCTTAATTCTCTTATCCGCTGATCCAGTGTAAACAAACCCATCGTAAGAAACTGCAACCGCGTTTATAGCATCGTCGTGTGCGTTACGCACTGATTCCAAACAAGCGAAATCTTTGGTTCTCCAAATCTTAATTGTTCTATCCCATGAAACCGAATACAAGAAGGTACCGTCTTTGGACAAAGCCAAGGAAGAAACTGTGTCAACGTGGTGAACCCAGGTGCACTTTTTGTGCCTTCGAATCTGAACGTGGTTTTTGGGGATCAACATCTTTGAGACACGGTCACCAAGGGTTGGGAGCGTGGCCACACGTGTGTACTTGTGTTGGCCATGTTCGTGGTTGGTGATCTTCCAAACGCGGATTTTGTGATCTTGATGAGCGCTGAAGAGTTTGTCTGAGTGAACTACGATGGATTTCACAGCACCCTTTCCAGCAATAACAGTGTTAGTGGGTGGTGGTGGTTGTTGAGAGTGAAAAAGTGCATGGTTCCAGGACTTGATTTCTCTGTCTGATGAAGCTGTGTAGAGGAATTTCCCTGCGAGGGTGAGCGAGGATGTGTAGGATGCGTGGGGTTTGAGGGTTGTGAGACACGTGTGAGAGATGGTTGAAGGGTTGAAGAGATGAGAGTGTGAATTAAGGGAAGGCACTGATGCGAGGCTTGGTTGTGAGGTTAACCTTGTTTGGAGGTGAATAGGGTCGTTGAATGATGTTGTGCGTTCCATGTTTCACGTGAACACAAATGGTATAGCTGAAGAAAGTGAAGTGAAGTGAAGTGATGTTACATATAAATGGAGAAGAAAAATGATTTGGCTGTATTTGGTATCGTATATAGTATGTGAGGAGTAAGTTGCCTTCAATTATGTCAGAGCTCGTTAAGTGGGGCCTTAAGGTTATGCTTCGTCATTGGCTACATTCAAATATCTGTATCTTCCTTTTCTCTTCTCTTTTTCGTCTTTTTAATTCAATCATATATATGATGATTTAGTAAGATGGTTTCTCTTCTTAAAGTGTAAGCGTTTTCTGTATTATTATTGACTTCACCATTTTCTTTCTATGGCGGCTCAAGGTTTATGTAAGTTTATTTTAACATTATTGCTTTTAAATTATTGTAATTTAAAAAAAAATTATTTATTAATAAATTGATTTAATTAAAAGTGTTTAAAAGAGTGTGTAGAAAATTATAAAGATAATTATATTTTTTTACCATTTATTTTAATAATTTTTTATGTAATTTATTAAAAAAAATTAATTGATTGTAATTATTTTTATAATCAAATTTATGTCGTATACTCTCGTATGATAATAATTTATTGAATAAATATTTAATTAAATGATTTAATATTTATTCAAAGTATATTTAGTTTTTAAAATATTGTTAAGTTTTAATAAATGTTGTTAATTTATCTTTAAAAAAATTTAACTAATAGTATATAATATAAATATTTAATCATCATTTAATATATTTTATTTCAACAAAAATTTTGATACAAAATATTTTCTAATTACTAAAGATATTATATTTAATACACAATAAATATATATTATTAATTTCTATATTTAAACATAATTACACATAAATCTAGATTCTAAATTAATACGAAAATAATAAGAAAAGTCAACAAAAGAAAACAAGGAGTTTCGAAAAGATTTCTAATAAAAATATTTACTTTTTTTAGTTAATATTATGACAAAACTAATGAAAAGAAAGAAAACTAGTTTCACATAAAATTAATTAAGCTCGACCACATAAATTAAACAAAAAAATTAATTATATTTTAATAACTTTATGTTATAAACTTATAACATGAAATAAATCTTCTTTACTTTTTTTCACTATAGAAAAATTTTAAAAAAATTATACGTTTTTGAAAGTTATATTTTAAAAATAAAATAAAAAGTTAGTGTCTTTAACTAAAAATTTAATTGTTAAAAGTTATATAATTATATAGTTTATTATATGTTTGCATGCCATTGATTATAATTTTAATTATTGATTGTATTCAATGATTAAAAATTTTCGGTTTAGAGAAATTAAATCATAAAATAAAATATTTTAGTAAAAATATGTAATACTTTTAATATATTAATATTATTTTTTAAATATTTATTTTTATTTTTAAAATTTATTTTAAATGAGTTAAATTACTTTTTAAAAGCTTTGCCTTAACTTGGCCTATACATTATTCAAACGAAGACAATAAATTTATCCTATATGTGCATGGATTTAAGTTAAAACATGTAAAGTCGATAAATGTCGCTTATTTAAGTTAAACGCATAAACTCAATAAACTGTTGAAAAATGTATACAAATTAATTAATATATTTGACGGATGAATAACTATTGTGATTAGTTATGTGTTAATTATATTTTGAGTACATATTCTTCTTTGTTGTCGGTAACATATTAGCATACCTAATTTGAGTAAGCAAAGTTAAAGCTGGAATTTTCATGATTAACAATCTTTGGCTGTGTTAAATGAGAACCTATGATTCACAAATATGTTATGGGTATTAGATACAACAAACTTTGACATTTCTTAGAAAGTATGGATAGAGTATATGAAAGACACAACGTGCAAATTTTTTAGGTAATAAAATAAGTTTTTAATTAATTAAAATATCTCGGAGGATATCCAATATAAATTTGTATGTATGATAATAATACTGTAAAATACTTTGAAGTTCGTAAATGAGAAATCACAACAACGTATTGAAAAACAGGAAAGGAACTCTCAAGTTATTGAGGGACCTCATATTGGTAGGGAAGTAAGCCATATCTTTCGTAATTAAAGCTGGGGTCACTCCTAAATAGGCTTTTCTGTTCAACCACAGTCTAAAATTGGCTTTGTCTGTGATTAGAAAATGCGCAAAATATGATAAATCAAGGAATTTTCAAATATATATTAAGATAAATATTTTTAAAAATCACATGATTTTTTAAGTTTTAAATTTTATAATCATAATTATTCATCGACTTTTATTCCTTATATATAAAAATGCTCCTCTCATTCGTGTGTAGCTAAGATGTGTGAAGTTGGGGAAGGATATGTGATTTGTAACTGGCTGCCAAAAATCGCATAAAACAATGTGTGTGCAGATGCGTCAGTGACGATGTGGATAGATAAAGAGATTGTGCACCACCTTCAGGTGCTCATTACTATCATCTCTTTTACCATTGCCCCAATCAATTGTGCGGATCAATTTTAGCTTTAAAGTTTCAAAGTTTTTGTGGTTAAATTTAAGTAGTTAATAATAATAATTTTGTATTGAAAATAAAGTAGTTTTATATTTTTGTATTTTAAAAAATAAATAAAATAAAAAATTATTATTTTTATATGTTTAAACTTAATTCTAAAAATTAAAGTTAACAAGTAGTTATAAAATTAGCCTTGCACGGATTAGCGAGTGTGAATGAAAGAAACCTGTAACAGAGGCATTAAATAAATTTGTCGATTGTCACAGACAGAGACTGATCAATATGTTTGAGGATAACTTGGCTAACGACTATAGAGGCCCAGCCAACATGATAAAGAATTAAAAAATTACAAAGAATGCTATGAAAGCCCCTCTTAATTGTTTCATGATGCCCAAAGTTAAGTAGGCATTAGTTTGGAAAAACCCAACTTTATTAAGCATTTTTATCTTAAAAGACTTAGCATAAAAATTGATGTCAACGTAAAAATTGATGGACCACGTTACAAGGGAATAAAGCATATCTGCAGCGGAAAAGATGGGGGAAAGAACAGCATAGACCTCTGGTTTTAAGGGCTGCACCAATAGTGGAGACTTTCCAGACTACTTGTCTTTGTGTCTCTTCCAGTGTTACATAATTTATTTTACTCATGGTCCAGGTTCTGGTCCCCTATATTTTTGCACCGCGGATTTCAGCAAGATATGGATACCGTTTTCAAATCAAATTTTCACACATAAAAAGTGACTCAAAAAAGAAAAGCTCTTTTTGTTATTTTCTTTCTTGTTTTTTTTTGTTGATTTTGGGGTGGGATGTACGGTTAACTCTCTGCTAAATACTTTCTCTGCTATTACTTATCCATATCCAGCACACCGCAAAGGAAAGGTGTAGGCATGTTTATAACGATATGTTTCATATAGAAAAGGAGTGAGTATGGTCCAAAATAGTTCACAATTCGTAGAAATAAGAAAGTTAAGACATATATAAGTGATAAAATCTTATAATTTAATAGCTTTAAATTTTTAGATTATATATTTGATAATTATATCTAACTTGTTTAATTTGTATGTGATCCATTGATATATGTTTTATATTTCGCTAGTGTGAGAAGTTGATACTATTTCGGTGAAGATATCTTTCAGTATATTGGAATGAATAGGTGAAATTCCTCTAGGAAAATACTCCAAGTTCGTGTTCGAAAAAAGTTTTAAGACAGTGTAACGTGTGTAATTCAAGAATTATGTAAGATACTTGAGGCTTCAATTCCATTTCTTATAAGTGTTGTTTTACCTTATAGTTTGGATTTTTATCATTGTACTAACATGAGCTACTAATTAAGTAGAAGTTGCGTAGCAGATTTTTATGGTAAGTTTCGAATAATTTTGACCATTTTTCAATGGCATCTATGCCTTTTTATTTGCTAAAAAATTTAATATATAAATTATGCATTGATGGAACAGGTATCGTAAATCTTCATCCGTGGTTTAAGATACTTGTTTGATCATAATAAACAAAGGAATAAATAGATATATCAGCTTTAGTAATGATTTGACTGTAACTATCTTCTAGCCCAATATTAATTGGCATTACCCCATATTAGTAGTATAAATCTTTCTAATACTTAAGTTCTTGCCTAACCTAATAAAGAGATTATAAAATATAAGTAGAGGGGAAAATGCAATTAAAAAAATCAGAAACCTAACCCTGGATAAGTCAACTTGAACCATTTGGCTTGGCTATGACTATTTAGCATTTGGTCCCATTTGCATCAATGCATGCGCTGCTTGTCTACTTGTCTTCATTTATGTCTCACTCAGTTGTTCACAAGTGCCTTTTCTTTGTGAAAGAAGAAGAAATCGCACGTTCTAGTTTCTTACAAACTAGTGATATCTTAATAATAATAGCAGGGGCCACCGATGTGAACCTATATGGACCCCGTTGATCAGTGCTAGTTCCTGTTTGAGCCTTTCATTGAATTTTTCTTGCCCCATATTATCTGTAGTTGATGACTTGATGGTTAGCTTCTTCATAACCACTCGACACTCGTTTAATTTGAACAATCCTACGGGTTTCCGCTTTCCACGCCCTTTGCTTCCATTGGAACAGTTCCAATATTGATTTGGATTGTCCATATTTTTTGTTGATAGCGTAGGTTCAATCAATTTGCATGTCCCACTATTTATAAGCAAAGGTCAATTTTTCGACTGACACGTTAAATCTTCCTTTTAACTTCTGTAAAACTTATGAGTGATTTGTCCTAATTACAGTACTGCACAACATACTATACGGATCAATAAATTTGAGACAAAACGGGGAAGAGATGTGTGTCGGTGTGTTCCTATTTGATTTTATTCTGTATGCGTTATTTTGCTTCTATTCTCATGTAATTGTATGTATATTCTTGTAGTAATATTTTTGGATAATTAAAAATTCGCATCATTGAAAACTCTATCGAGTTGGAACATAAATAAATCATTAACCCACCCCTTCTCGCACACACACGGGGGCCAGCCCGATAAATATTTAAACTTAAAGAAAGTTTTTAAATACCTTTTTATAAATTAATATAATTTATTAAAGTTATGTTATTTTTAAATTTATCTATAAAATATAAA